AAAATTGGCTTTTTAAACTTTGGATCGGCATTTTGCACGACCAATTTCCGGTAATATACTGTAGGGGTGTGTATATGTCCTAAATCCTAATTTAGAAATTTTTTGCAGATCATTTGGTGCTAAATACTTTAACCCGAAACCCAGCGTAATTTAATTTAATTTATTTAGAAACGGAATTTATAGCTATTCTTAATGCGAAATTTTATGTAAATTTTCCCGATTTTTCATGCAAAAAGGTGGGGAGATTTATTGGATCCGGTTTATCTAGCTATAACAAGCGCGAAAATCGAGTATTTTAGTAAAGCGGCGCATGCGGCTGGTACGTATAATGATTTGATTTAATTCTCGCGTTTAACTTGTAATCTATTAATACTCGAGAAAATTTCAGCGTCCCCTTGGAATGGTTGGTGACAGCTTGAATTTGTTATCTGATCTGAGCTTTAGTAAATGCTAAAAACAGAAAGTGAAAAAATAATTTTAGGTAGGAATGCACTTGACGCTGTAGTTTTGGCTTATAATGGAATTTCATTGCTAAGACAACAATCGCAAATCAACAATAGGTAAAATCGTTATAAATAACTTTGTTCATTTTGACTTTCTTACATATGTTAAATTTTTTGCGTTCAATACAGAATTATCATGTTTATTACTAATGGAGGAAAAGTAGTCAATGGTAGTGCAATTACTTTTTTAAGTATTGAACCTGATCAGTAACTGATAAAACGGATAAAAAGTGATCCCCGATTACGCATCACTTCCGCTCCGAGAGTGTTTCAATTTTGCAAGAATTAAAAAGTCGTGTTGAAAATTGTCTCAAGTCTGCTGCGGACGCTACTGGATGCACATATAAAACTGAGTGGGATAAAGGATGCTGTGGTAGATATTTTGTATCTTATTTTTATTGTTGATTCTATAGTTTCCAATTTCTTCCATTAGAGGTTATCGTAAATAAAAAGCTAGCAAAAAATTTTATGAGGCACATGGAAGATCGTGGCGTAGTTTATCCTCCGACTGGTACTTTTCCTCCAGGAGGGTCGACAGATCAGGTATTTTTCGACCTCTATTATAATAATAATTCCCGAAATACAAGTTTTCGATAATTATGCATTTTTATGTATAGGGTAATGTGAGCTATGAAGTTCCAAGTATTCACGCTTTGTAAGCAATCTTTTATTTTATAATTACTCGTTAATTTCTTTTTCAAGAATCTAAAAATCTTTTGATTTAACAAGATGCAACATCGGCACGACACACATTATACATACACCCGAATTTGCGATAGAAGCTGAAAAAGTAGAGGCACATCACAGAACGTTGTGTGCTGCTACATGTTTAGCATTGACTGCGTCGGATGTGTTGGTTGATGACCAATTGTATCGAGATGTTGTTGAAGAGTTTAACGCTAACGTCAAGAAAACAAAGCAGAAGTGAAATGAAATATTGTGATAATTTGTTTATCTTGTTTTTTATTTAAATTTCATTCTCACTTCTAGCCTATTGTTTTATTATATAAAATAAAAATACATAAGTAATCGCCCGTGATAATGTCTACCAGTTCTTTATTAATATATAATTGCTTGCTTGTAATGGTATATTTTCTTTTATAGAATAGTTAGTTTGATCGGATTCTAATAAAGAGTTAAAGGTAAGAAAAATCTTGTACACTATCCATAGAATAAATTAATTTTGAATTTTTCGTTAGCATTAAGTTTTTTGTAGAAATTTAATAGTAGTAGTACAATGAGTTAAAATATTGATAACGATAATTAGCGTTACTTGGCAATATTGATAGGAATGTATTATACAAATACATTATTATCGCTAAGGAAAATTTCTTTGCAATTAATTGTTGCTTTTTGACTTGGTTCGCGGACAAAAAAATAGTCTTCCCTCTGGTAATGACACAGAGAAACTTTCCTAAATGCACGCAATGGCGCAGTCTCAAACTTATAAGGTCTCTAATTATTTACTCTCTATAAATGCCGCTAACGGAGGAATGGGAGAAACTTGATGTCTTTGTTTTTGAAGAGGTTATTGCCTCAATGCCAAGGAGGATTGATACAGTATCAAAATGGAGAGCCGACAAAATATTGATTAAATATTTAATGTATAAATTATTAGAAGTAAAATAAATCGGATATACATGTATATTGAAATTTTCATTTTGATTTGAATCGGGTGTTACTTTTTGGAGTTCTATACATGTATCTAAAAGATTTGGTATAACGATAATGTCTTTATCAACCTTGACCATTCTTTTCGTCTTGATTGATGACATCTTTCCTCTTTTACTTGATTCTTCTAGCAAGGATGTTTTATGCTCTTTGAAAGATTGTTTTTGTTAAAAAATTAAAATATTTTAAAACGCTGAGACTCCGTTGTTGTTAACGAGAAAACTTATGCTGTGTTTGAATATTCTTTTGTACATATTCAACGTCAATACATGTACGTACATGTATTAATGAGAACCTTTTTCAGATTCCAAAATGCATTCGTTTTCCCGTGTTAATGGTCAGCATATTTACACATGCTCTGTATAGATGTCCAGCTTTTGTTTCTTTCTCATAATACTCCATGAATTTATAATGGTCGAAGGAAGTTTCGCAACCTGTACGAAAGCACACTCTTGTGTTAATGCATAATTCTGCTACAATGTTGTGTCTGAAAATTTTTTTTTAAAGTGGCATTCCTATTCTGTAGTGAATAGCAATATCAGAGTAGGCTTTCTTGAAGAACGTATTTCGGTTGTTATTGTTGATGATGATGACGCGGATTTTGTAA